ATTTGCTGCATGGTTGGTGACATATTTCCCCAATTTCCCCAGTTGACAAATTAACAACAATACATTTCTTCTAAGTATAACAGAGTCACCCCAGTGTGGAAAATGTGGTGCTGGCTAGGGCAGAATTTCAGAAATTGCATGTACTGTTCTTCTGGAACTTCTTTGTTCTGCTAAAAATCCCCTAGGCCTCTGGGATACAATTATAGGATCCTCAGTCCCTGGGGAAAGGTAGAACCATATATTTGGTAACTTGACCAAAGCCACCACTGTTGGAGACTATGGGGACACAGAGCTGGACACTGGGAGGAACAAATATATCTCCAGCAGGGCCAAGACGGCCTTGGAGGTAGAAGACACAGAGACCATGATCTATTCTCTTTTGAGGTTCTTCAGCAGTAACAGAATCTTTCTAAAAGGAGGGAGATATCCTTGACCCAGTACTGTCGGCAAGCTAGAATGCAAATGCAACACTCAGTTCCATCCAGGAGCACATGCACTGCCCGGAAGGGAGAGCCTGGGCTGCTGGTGTTCAAGGCTCAGGGGCTGGCTCTGGCTCTGGCAGGGATCCTTTAGGATGCAGCCCCCCAGGTCAAATTATCATGCTTTGGGAAACAGCTGCATATATGAGTGTAAACTAAGAGTTGTTACTCTGGAGCCCCAAAATGCAGCATCTCTGTTGCATGTACAGAATGGCCAAGAAGGGGAAGGCCACCAAACCACCAGGCATGCCCTGGGCTGTTCTCAACAGCGACACCCTGAGGCCGCAGCTAAAGACACAAGGCAGGTGCACTGCCCAGTTGCCTCACGCTCCCTCTGCTTGGCATCAGAAGCAGAATGGGCTTTGGAGGATATCTCTGCGATTCTCAGATGAAAACAGGAGGCACGCTCAAGGGGAAGATGCTAGACCTCCCAGTAATAAAGAATAGCTGAAGGCACCTGAGTGATTAATTAGAAAAATAAGAGACCTATAAAATAAAAATAAAAGGAACGTATCTCTGGCACCCTGCACAAGGGCTCAAGGGCGGAGCTTATTCTGGATGTCAGAGTTTGGGAGAAAGGAGGTAAGGTATATGAGCACTTTGAAAAGTTCATGGAAAGATTTGCATTATCTTTCAATTCTACTTTTCCTCATAAGTTTAAATTATGTCTACACAACAACGTGCATCAGGAATAAAGGGATATGCTTCCATTTGGCCAAACCCAGTCTGACATCCTTGCAGGCACTAAGGGAAGCAACCAGAACAAAAGTGACAAGGAAGGAGCTGTGCTTCAGGGAAGAATGTGAGGCTTTTAAATTTCATCACAACCTTCTAATAATACCTCCGAGTTTGCTTTTCTGTAGACAAGCTTGCAGGCCCACAGTCAAGCTCTCGCTTCTCCCCAACCACCCCGAGAGGAAAGGAATCTGTCAGCTTCCCTGAAAGGGAAAGGGGAAAAGGAAAACAAAGTCAGAAGGAAAAAGCTCAAGTTGCTTCTCATCTGTTTGAAGGCACAAGGCAGAACAGAGACCGGTTTTGTGCAGACGCACCTTCAGACCCCGGGGAAGGAAACCTGCAGGCACCGAGTTGGAAAACATGAAGTGCAGGGAAGTTTTAATGAGCTTGAGCAGCTCTTTGATAGTTGCTGATGTTCAGATGGAGCATTTGAAAGTAGGGACTTTCAAAGAATATGGTTTTTAGGAAGCAATTTTTCCTCTCACCATCTCTTCCCTTTGGGGCTATTCAAATGAGGCCTAAGTCATCACATGAGTGACAGGGTAGGGGTCAGAGCAGCTGTAACCTGTAACACGAAACCCGCAGGACCCGCAGCTCCATCCAGAACCAGCTGCTGCTCTAGGTAGTGACCGTAAGGGCCTCGTCAAGATGGATTGAGAAGGGATGAAATAAAAGGCATAAAATTAAAGACAAGATTAATAAAATCTGATGAAAGAAAACACTGCTAGCCAACCCGGCAGCTCAAATTACATTTGCCACATCTACCAAGGAGGGGCCAATCATGAGTAATAAGTCCAGGCTCTGAAAAGAAATTATGGGCTAAATAACTTAACAACGGGTAACACCAGAGAAATCACTGATGCACCTTCTCTGGGAAGACTCAAGGCAGGGTATAAAACCTGTCAATCACACAGAGACAAATTTCACTTGGGAGGGCCCCCGGAGAGTGTCTGGTGTCATCCTGAACTTGGTACGATCAGGCACATTCAGTTATTAGGCAAGAGCTGTCTTGCCGCCCAGTGCACATTTCTGCCCCATCAGCTGAATCCACTGCCTGCTATCGGGGTGTCTCAGTACAAGCGGTTCCCAGAACCTGTCCTTCCTTCCAGGTCAGTCTGAGCCTCCAGACAGCACCCAAACCATCCCGTCATCTGCAGGTTCCTCCTGCCACCTCCCCCCAGATCCCTCTAAGTTCCCAAACCCCCAGCTATTCTCACTACAGCTTAGCAGGAAAACAATCTGATTTAATGAATTCACACCAACCCTTCAAGGATTCTCTTTTTCTTTGAAGGGCAGGCCGGGAATGCAAAATAACCACTTAGGGTAAGCTTTCAGTCTGTAGGAGAGGTCACAGACCTTCTCTGAACCTCATGTGTACAACATACCTGTGAGAAGAGAAGGAAAAAACTCCATCACCACTATCTCTCCCACTTCCCAGCCACTGCTCAACAAACGGAGGGCTCGTCCCCTGCTCTGTCTCTTCCCTGAAGAGCTTTCCCGTCTCAAGGACAGACCAAAGGCCCAGGTCTCCTGGCACGGACCCAGCAGTAGACATGATAAGATAACATCTTACTGTAGAGATGGTGAGGAGCTATCTGGCTTTAAGTCAAGAAAGACACTAGAAACCCTGGAAGAGGGCTCCCTTCTCCTCAAAGGCTAAAGGGGCCCAGAAATTTGAGGCTCAGATACCGAGATCTTCAGAATCTCTGCTCCGTCCTATCTCTGCACCCTAAGCGAGTCCTACAGCTTCTCCCTGTCCTGCCCCTCAGCCGCATTCGTCCACAGCCAGCAAGAGGGGATCTCTGACTCGCTGGCTAACTGGTTTCCCTGGGTTACTGGCTTGCTGAGACCCTGCCTCTTCCTCGGGAACCTTCCAGTGCAGCCATCCCTGCTCCTGGTTCACAGATAAGAGGGTCTCAGTAGACCAGGGTCCTGGAAGTGAGAAAGAGTCCTTAGAAGAGGAGTTACGTTCCCAGAACACCTGATTCCTCCCAAGACGCAAACTCTGTTCCTATGATGCTTGGTCATCTGAGTCCTTCCTCATATAGCAGATCACCTGCTTCCAACTTAAAAAAAGAAAAAAAAAAAAGGTTGGAGAACATTACTCCCTGATATAAATTGCTTGATCCCCACTGAGATTATTAAGAGGATGGGAAATCCTATTAACAATAATTGAAAGGTGGGGCCTTGAAGAGGTGATGAGGTTCTGAGGACCATGCCCCAATGAGTGGATTAATAATGGTGGTCGCGGGCATGGTTCTGAGGGCTTTAAAAGGAGAACATGTGAGAGTCTCTCTCTCTGCTCCCACCTTTCTCGCAATGTGATACCCTGTGTCTCTAGCAGAGAAGACCCTCACCAGACGTGTTCCCTGGACTTTGGACTCCCCAGCCTCTGAAACTGTAAGCAATAAATATGGTTTTCTTACAAATCATCCAGTTCCAGGTATTTTGTTATAAGCAACAGAAATGGACTAATATGCTCCCAGAAAATCTTCAACATGAGAGGGTTATACAGATAATGAGGACTTTTAATTTTCTTTGACCACTATTAGAGCTGGTTTAAAGAAAGAATGGGATCCCATCCTACCTGAATAAAACTAAAATTGACCAGAAACTCAGCTAACCAGACAGAACTCTCAACACTTCATTTTTTTCTTGCTCACTACTCTTTAGAAATGGGCAATCTTTAAGAAAACAGTCCCACAGTCCCCCTATCATCTACTCGTCCTCTGGTCTAACACATCCTGAGTGCATAGGATTTCGTCCGAGATGGCACTGAAGGCTCCTGGCTTCTACACTGGGGACAAAGTCCAGGTGTTGTCCAATCTGATGCCATGTCTGAACGTCCAGCCTGGGATCCAGCCGGATCTTTTGAATGAGGGATCAGCATAGCCTCAGTCTGCAAAGACTCGGTCTCTGCTTATCAAAATCTACTCGCTTCAATCAGCAACTGAATTCAACCCTAAGTTCTGGAAGGACACATACCACGTTGTTAACAGGGTTGCCTGAGGCTTGGGGGCAAGGGGAACAGAGTGAAGGGGTACTTTCTCTTATCACTCTACCTAATTCTACACTGCTTTTTCTTTTTTTACACAGAAAATGTATTCACGGACTCCTTCAAACATTGAAATAAACTCATAAATGGTCAAAAAGATAAAAGAAAGTGAATGTTTTCAACGATACAGTCCAGGCTCATCAGGGTTTCTGATGGAGGCTGAAATCTGGAAGAATAGCTGAGCAGGAAGGTGTCCCCTCTTCACAGCCACACAGATGACTGCATGGTCTCGAACAGACCAGGCATTCTCCAAGTTCTACTCCCCAGGGCTGGACACTGCTGGGACCCTCTGGCTGGGCTCTTCCAGTTTTCTGCCTCGTAAGGTCAAGAGCCTTCCTATCTCCAGTAACTCCTCTCCTGAATGACTTAACCTGTGAGCCCCCCAGGACGTGAAGAGTGGGCTTGTGCCTTCAACTCACCTTGCCCCAGGTGACCCTCTTACCTGAGAGGTACTCAGGAAATGCAGTCATGTTTTACCCAATTCCAGCACCTCTCAGATCATTCTCCAGTTAAAGATGGGGGCCTTCTCCAGCATGAAAGCATGAACAGCTTCTGAAGAGCAGCGTGTCTGACACAGAGCTCAGATTTTTGCCAATCGATTCAAACGAACTGCCCTCCCCTCCCTCCTCTACCCAGGTGGGAACACAGAACACAAGAGCTTGGCAGCTGCAGCAGCCGACAAGGCTCTCTCTGCCACCTCATTAATCACCTGGCAGCCAGGGAGTGCTTACCTGCAGATGTAATTCGTCTTGCAGGAGTCCTGCAAATTCAAACAGTTGGGCTTCTCCCTCTCTTCGTAGGAGCACACAGGCACAATGGTTTGTCGCCTCCGCTCTGTGCAGGCGATGTCCCGGCAGGAGCAGAAGAGCATTCCGTAGCTGTGCTTGGCCGGGACCTTGTCGAAGAACTGCCGGAGGGCCTTGTGGCACTTGCGTCGGTTGCAGACTTCATTGGACATGCTGGTGGTGCACGGGGTGATGTATGCAGACCTGTACTTCTTGCAGGTGTCGTCGAGGTTGCAGGCCTTGGCCGCATCCAGGCAGTTGTTCCCTTTGGGAATGTGCTCCACTGCAAAAGCAAAAAAGACAGGCATGGTTACAGAGCTCCACTCCGGGGTTGCTCACACCAACACTGTTTTAATTGAGATCTTGCCATTTACCTGGCAATGCTGGCAGCTCTAGCACTTAATGAGTTTTGAAGCTAATAACTTAATGAGTTCATGACAAGGAGAAAGTGTTAGGAATGCAAACGCTGGGAGTCCACAGCAGCACACAAGCCTCTAGCAATCCCTTAGATGTATAATCAGGAGGAACCAAGTGAGGCCAAAGGAACTCAGGCACCTGCCCCAGTATGTGCAAACAGAGGCAACAGGAAAGTTCCTAGCTCCTGGTTGGTAAACTGAAATTAGGATAAAGGAAAAAAGCAACAAATTATATACTTGTTCATGAAACAGTATATAAAATGATATGCTGAATGCAAGTATAATTGCCATGCAATCCTCCAGGAATATAATTATGTAATAAATGCATATAGTACATGCTAATTACTATATGATTACAGAGTAATTACATGGTTATTTGAGCCCAGAAGACAAAATATTATGCCAGGCTCTCTAAACAGGAAGAAGCAACTACAACGAAGCTGTATTTAAGTTTTAGCTCACAGGCCATTGGAAGAAAACCAGAATAAATTACACAAAAATGTGCAAACCTCAATTACTAGTTAACTCACCACATACAAAAGGTGGGCTCCATAAGTAGTGAGGTTTCAGATTAGGAAAATTGAGCTAGCATTTTGGATAGAATTTCAAAGGGCTTAGAAACCACAGGATTTAGGACTCACACAAAGCAAGTGCTGCCCTCTGCCCAAGACCTCTGAGTCCATCCTGCCAGAGAAACCAATGCTGCCCACTGCTGGGCTGCCCCTGTGCTACCTGGAGTGACAGCACAGTGGAGGCAGGGTCCACTGGTGGCTAGGTGGGTGGACTGGGACCAAGCCCAGTAGACAGTTAAAAGATAAGTGGACAGGGGAATTAAGCCCAGTTCCCCTTATAGATGTGTTTCTGCAGGGAGAAGGAAGTGATAGAAAAACCTTCCAGAACCAATTTATAAGGAGGTCCGAGAAATATTAGAAATTAGGTATAACAGTGACCCTCCAGAGAGGGCAGGAAGGTGGCAGACAAGCCCCACACAACTGCAGGATTAGACAACCCAGCAAGTTCCTGCTCAGACCTCAGCCCCTCTGGGGATTCTGTGACTCTTTCTCATTCTGTTTATGCACCCCCAGCCAATGGGGGCCAGGAAAGCATTTGGGAAATTATAAGAGGCTAGAGAATTGGCCAGAGAGGAGAAGGTCCAGGTGGGTTGGGTGGGTCTGAAAGAGGGGGCCGTGCATTTACTGTATGTCTAAAGGGCACATGGAATATTATCTAGCCTTAAAAAAGAAGGAAATTCTGAAATCGACAACAACATGGATAGGCCTTGAAGGCATTATGCTAAGTGAAATAAGCAAGTCACAGAAGGACAAATACTGCATGATTCCATTTCTATTAGGAATCTAGAATAGTCCAACTCATAGAAACAGAGAGTGGAATGATGGATGCCAGGGGCTGGGGGTGGGGAAAAATGGAGAGTTGCCATTCAAAGGGAATCAAGTTTCGGCTACGCAAGATGAATACGTTCCAGAGATCTGCTGTGCAACACCGTGCCGGCAGTTATCAGTACTGTATTGTACGCTTAAAAATTTGTTAAGAGAGTAAGTCTCACGTTACATGTTCTTACTACAATTATTTTTTTAAAAAATAAATAAAGAGAACACAAAGCAAGTTCAACATTTCAGGGAAATAAACCTCTCCCTGTTCTAGTGATGATATGCCTTGCTTTAAGAAAACCCAATACGCAAAAATGTGAAATCACAATATTATACCCTGGCACTAAGAGTCGTGTTTTATTGTGCCCCAGGTTCATGTTCCTGCCTGTGACATCTGAGTCCAACAAAGTTAATGTGGAAGGCGATAAACAAGATATTCAGCCCTTCTGGGGTGAGCGGTGCAGGAAGCTAGCAGCTGTATGTTCATCCCTGCTGGTTTCACAAGCACACCTGGTGCTGTTTCTCCATCATGCTATTCCCAAGGCTGCTTCTCTCAGGCTCCTCAAGACTTAAGAACTGAAATATTTACCACGTGCCCTCACATGGCCACCAGGGCCATCAGGCCTTGGTGACACTTCTAGCCTTCTCCTCTTTTGAGACTTTTAATGTGCTTTTGGGCCCAAGGGCAATGATTTATATTCTTTAAGGTCTACAGTTCTCTAGATTTCTAAATTATGCATTTTTGATGATAATCTACTATAAATTAATATGACCATATTCTGGATCATCTGGGTTAGGCTGCTTAAGGCTGGCTATTTGTACACAATTTCACTACCTGATTTATATTTGCATTGGTGTCTAATGGTACTTTATGATCTCTATCTCAAAGGAAAAGAAGAGAGGCACAGAGGTGGATTAATACTTCAATGATGTAGCCAATGATATACAAACAATTATATATATCATGTAAGTTCAGATGGAGAAAAAGGCAGAAGAATTAAGTCATCGCATGGTATCCAGGAACGCAGGCCTGCCAGACTCAAAAGAACCCAGGCTGAAATGGAGTACTGCATTCAGATTGTAAGCACCAATTTCATTTCAGTAAAGCAATATCATTAAATCGATGTTATTAGTTTGCATTTCTTTGTTTTCAAAGTTTTGCTCACACTTAATTTGTCTGTGTGTGTGTGTTACTTTTATAGTTGCATAAAAACAAAGAATAAGAGTTTATAGTTTTATGTTTATAAATTTCAAATAACATCATAATAAAAATAAGGAAAGTCAACACATGATGCCCAGGAAATTTCTTTTTCTCTGAAAGTAGTCAATATAATGATACACATGCTTAAAAACTTGGCCTAATATATGTCTTCTTTGTTAGCAGCTTTTTAAAAGTTGTTAAAATTATATAAGCTATTAATTTTCTGCTTAATGTTATTAAAAAAGAAAAGGAATTATTTTAAAGGAAAAGCTTTGTACAAAGCAGGAACAGGGTGAATCATTTTCTATCCAAATGTCAAAGTTTATTTCATTTAGCAATGGATGTGACTTAGCCTCACTTTCTGCTGATTCTGTTTTCACTAATATTTAACCCTTGCCAAAGCACCATCCTGTTATCATTACTTCAGAGCCTGTGACAAATTCCAGAATGTACAACCTGGCACATTCAGAAAACCAAAAACCATTCATTTATAGCTCACAGGTCAATGTACGACTACCTTTTTGTTTCTAACTCGCACTCACACAGAACATTCTCATGACTCATCCCAACTTGACATATGAAGCCAGAACTACCCAAATACCAGAACCTGACAAAGACAAAAGAAGAAATAATAGACTAATATCCTTATAAATACAGATGCAAAAATCTTCCCAAAATTTTAGTAAATTATATTTAGCAATATGTTAAAAGGATAATGCATCATTATCAACTAGAATTTATCCCAAGAATGCAAGGCTGGTTTAATATTTAAAAATTAATGTAATTCACTACATTAACACAATATAGGAAGTAAACCATATGATTATTTCAAAAGACAAAGAAAAAGCATTCAACAAATTTCAACACTCTCTTATGATAAAAAATGCTCAGCAAACTAATAATAGAAAAGAATCTCCTAAATCTGATAAAGGGCATCTATTAAAAACCTACAGCTAAAATCATATTTCATGGTAAAATATTTACTTTCCTCCTAAGATCAGGAACAAAGGATGCTGTTTTTTACCACTTACAATCAATATGAGGGTACTTCAAAAAGTTCATGGAAAGATTCATACTATCTTTTAATTCTATTTGTCGTTAAACTTTTCAAAGTATCCTCTTATGTACTAGAGGTCCTAGTCATTGCGATAAAGTAATGGAAAGAAATAAAAGGTATAGAGATTGGAAAGGAAGACATCTCTATTTGCAGATGACTTGCAAAATCCTAAAGAACCTAAAAACAACTACTAGAACTATTAAGTGAATTTAACAAAGTCATAGAATACAATATTAATCTACAAAAATCAATCATATTTTTATATGTTAGAAGCAAAAAAAATTAGAAAACAAAATTTTAAGACATGCTCCCATTTAAAATGGCACCACAAACACCCCCAAAACCCAAAAAGCACTTAGGAATGAATTTAACAAAAGACATGCAAGACCTCAAAAATTTTAAGACATACTCCCATTTACAATGGCACCACAAAACACCCCCAAAACCCAAAAAGCACTTAGGAATGAATTTAACAAAAGACATGCAAGACCTCTATACTGGAAATTTAAAAGCATTAATGATAAAAATGAAAGAAGACCTAATAAATGGAAATGTATACTATGTTCATGGATCATAAGAGTCAGTATTGTTAAGATGTCGATTATCTCCAAATCATAATACATTTTGAAATTGGCAGGCAGATTCTAAAATTTATATGGTAATGCAAAGGACATAGAATAGCCAAAGCAGTTTGAAAGAGAACAACAAAGTTGAAGGACTTACACTAAGTTCAGGATTTACTACACAGCTACAGTTATCATGACAATGTATTGTAGCATGGCATAGACAAACCAAACAATGGAGGTAAAGAAAGAACTCAGAAATAAACCCACACATCTACATTTGATTTTTTGTTGTCATTTGATTTTTGACAATAGCACTAAAGAAATCCAATGGGGGAAAGTCTTTTCAACAAATGGTACTAGAATAACTGTATATCAATGTTAAAAAAACAAAAAAGAAAACTCTTAAGCCCTGTTTTCACACTGTACATAAAAATACAAGATGGATCACAGATTTAAAACATAAAAGCTAAAATCATAAAGCTTTTAGAAGAAACATAAGATAATCCTGGAGGTAGGCTAAGGCTTTTTAGACAGGACCACAGACAGCAATACCATAAAAGACAAAAAAATTGGTAAGGTAGAGTTCAAGAACATTAAAAAACTTCTGCTCCTGAAAAGACACTGTTAAGAAAACAAATAGGTGAACCATGGACTAGGAGAAAATATTCACAAAACATGTA